GTTTTCAAGCTATTAAACTCTATAGCTATCTTGAAACCTGGGCTGGGGGAAAAAAAATTAGCATATTTGAGGCATCATGTAATATATATTTGTTATAGACCTCTGCCTCTGGTTCATATCATACAGAGCGGGAGGCAGGTGGACTGGGGTAAGGTTTGTTACGTGATACTATAAAAGAATCTGTGGTGGGTAACTTTTTTCTTCTTTTTTTCTTTTAGATTTTCCATGCTGTTTCCGCCCATTGTGGTAGGTAGTGATGGTTCGAAAACTCCTTGATTTTGGTGTGTGCTGGCCTCTATAGCGTCACCAGGCAACCTCAAGTGCCTCCCTTGAAATTTCCCCTTCCTCCTGACCTCTAATGGCAAGTTTAAAGACTTCACCTGGCTGAATTCGGAAAGGGATTGGGAATAGCCTCATAGATACCTTGACAATAGCTTGCTCCAAGATCCTTTCCTTATCTGGGGTTTCTCCCAATATCAAACACCGGGTCGGCCCACCATGAAGCTGTGTATAGTATCCTCTTCACCTTCATCTTCGCTCTTGCTACCTCCTCCGAAATCATAACTCCTACCGGTCATGAAGGTGAGCTAACAAAACACGGCATGCTTTTTTCTCCACTAGTTTCCGAGTCCTGGAGGTCTTTCGCTCTCTCGGTATTCTGAATGCACTCTCTGCCGGCTCGTATGATATCTCAATCTAAGTTTGATACACAAGACCCGGCAGCTGGTCTTGGCGAAACTCAGAGCCACAAACGCCGGTAATAACTTCTACCAGATGGCCCTGCCAATCTCCGGGAGATTTACAAGTACTTATCGTCCTAGGTGGTGCACCTTAAGCTGATGTACCGGAGAGGAGTACATGGGCTTAGCAGAGGCAGCGGAGGTGGGGATACTAGAAGGGTGGAAGGCAATTTTGGATAGGGCGGCCTGGCAATACGTGATCTCCCAGGGCTGAAGGTGGTTTAGATTCGGGAGGCGAGGTGGCCCATTAATGGGAGTTCCTGGTCGTGCTCTGGGGCTCGTGCTGATATTGGCATGTTTACCTTTGCTGAGGAGGTTTATTAGCGCCGCGATGATTGCTGATGATACAGAGTAGGAGAGGAAGCTGGATGCTGCTAGGGATCCGCTTTTGGATATTTATAATTCTGCGGAGGGCGCTGGGTGGTGTGGAAGGGGGTGTGCCAATTTTCTTTTGTATGAGGTATATGTATTGTTGCAGCTCCTAAGTAAGATGTTTGGCTTCGGATAGCCTTGCCATACCCGAGCACTTGGTTGGCTGACTTTTTGACCCCATTGACTGAAAGTAGGTTAACTTCATAGATAGCCAAAGAGTCATTACGTTTCTTAGAATCTGACTTAAAGAAGCCTCATACATTATCACTCGATTATTTGTCTAGAGTTAAGGGTAGTCTCCTAAAGATGTAGACCGGTTCCACCGGTTTACCCGGGGGGCATAGAGATTTACTATGCCATTATAGAGGATCTCCCATCCTGGTCTTGACCAGCTTTCGGGCCTGTTTTGAAGGTAGGCTCTACAGCTAACGATTGTGTCTGGACTTTTTTAGAGTGAACCTCCGGAAAATAGATCTCTACCTTCCTAGGAAGGACTGCAGCAAAATGCCTTGGGTATGGAAGCACGTTCCCCTATGGCGGAGAGGAAGAGGTGATGCAGCCCTTAGCGGATCAACTATGGCTTCAGGGGGGATTAAAAGCTATAGGAACCTTATTATGAATGTCGCACTTGTGAGTAGTGTTCGACCGGGCACAGATCGGAATTTGGAGCTGGGCCTAGAATTTCAACTGGCCTCGGTGCATTGGAGCACGTCTATAGACTGCTGCTAACATCGAACCCGTCTTCCATTCGTTCACAGTCACTTCGTAATCTATGGACACGTATAACATCTCTAAGTTTTCCTCTCCCTCTCCCTTCCCCCCCTTTATCCAACACTGCTATTATTTTTTCCCAGAAACACCTTACTGGCATTGCTATCAACAATTCTGGGTTACAAGAACCGCATCAACTCAATTACGAATATTTCTTGCGTCTTATCCTTTCTACCTTTCTTAATCCTTTCTTCTCGAGGTTCACAACTTCTCCCCTCAAGGGTCCTACCAAGCATACATCGGTTGATATACACCCGTCAAGATGCGTACGGTCGATAACTCGGTGGGCGAGGGCTTGATGTTCATCCGCTTTGCAAAGCTTACCCAGAGATTCGAGAACGGTGACATCGTGGTCAGCACCAAGGAGATTGCCGAAAGTTACCAGGAGCGTCAAACCAAGGATGGAGAACTTGATACCGCCTTAGCCACCATAGTAGGCGACCTACGGATGTGTATCTGGGAAGCGAATTACACCGATTGGCTAGCGACTGTCATTCACCGGGCCAAATATTCCAAATTTTTTAGCGAACCCTCCAAGGCCACAAAACTGCAAGCACGACATCTCTCTCAAGTTGCATCTGGTCGATTGGATTTAGAAGCAGCGATTCTTGGCTTGGAGCGAGAGCAGGATTCCCAGGCCAACCTTTTTCGGAGAGCATGTGCCCACCTAAACCAACCCGAGAGTGCCGTGTTTGAAGCCATACGGCAATGCATCGATAAGAAGGCTTCGAAGGATGCCAACGAGATACTTGCCCTGGAGAAAACCGAGCGGTGGGGTGAACTGTACGGGAGGATCCTCAGGGACACGAGAAATCTCCAAGAGTGTATACCCACTCGATTCATCCCGTTTCAGGAGCACGTTAGAGGTGCATTAAGGGAATTTACTAGAGCTCATTCCATGGGGTGTGCTCGGACCGCGAGGCATGGCGCTAGTTACGCACTCGCTCAAAAGAGATCAAACGAAAATAGACACCCAATGCAGACCGAGGAGTGGACTGGAGCTGGAGCCCCCATGTATGGCGAAAGTAGGAGGGAAATGAAAGAGAACAATCAAAAGGTGGATGCTAGGTTAGGTAAGTTGAAATCATAGAGCTGGGAGGAGATTTGCTGATGGCGGGGAGTCTAGGCTAGGTGTGGAGATCCAAGACTAGTGGGGTGAGGAATCCCCCCGGGGTAGTGTACTGCTCGTGGAGCGTTTGATTACTTTGTGACCCTGGCAGAATTGCTCCCTGTGATGTTTTTGCGGCTTGAAAGCTTCTAGTTATAGCTGATTGTGGGACCTCGTCTCTATTGGGAGGGTGAGCTGAGGGGTGGATAAAGTCTGGGCTGGACAAGTTCCCTTAGGGTTAAATGTTTTTAAGTCCAGTTATATCTTGCCTTGTATACAACTTGGACTGAGGAGAAAAAAGGGCTTGGGCCACACAGCTACGGGCGGTTTCCGAATATACAATACAGTTTGGTAGCTTAACTCATAATGCCAGTAGACTATGAGTACCCTATACTACCAGTGCCATAGACTATCAGTGACATAGACTATATGAGTTTCCCTATGCTCAACTTGGCTCCGAAGTAGGGAGGAGCACTATGAATATGAGTAGGAGCAATGTATAGATATCGGCGGTTCTCTAGGCTGAATGTGATTCCGATTCCGAACGACTAAGTCCTGGCTTTCACCGGGATGAATGTAATGTTCACAAAAATGATCTTTGCTCCGCTTCATAATCTTTGGCCCCTGCTTGCTCGTGTTTCACACGGTATGATACCTGGGACTATTGCTGCATAAACTCGAGAAAGCCTTGCTATATAGCTAAACCCCTTCATGCATTGGCCTTTGATACGGGTGGTCTGGATGGCAAATAGCTCTGGAGAGCAGAACCGCTCTCGAGATACCCCGGTCCCCCGGCGCACAGCTTGGGCTCCCGAACGCGCTGCGAGGGCCGTTTCTCCGAACAGGGTTTAACGGCAATTCCGATTCCTGCTTCCTTTGGCCACTAGTGTACGGAGTAGGCACTCAGTATCCCACTCGTACCCTCATCCCCATAGAAAACGGTCCGAGGGGAGGGGTGGCTATGGAACATGGCGATGGCTCAATAGAACATTCCATTCTCGCAGCAATACGGTCGACCCAGATTCCGAAGAACACATACCCGCGTGCCTTGGCCCTTGGGGGGCTGAAGGTGCTCCATCCGTGCTTTCCTTCACTCCACTTTCCCGCTAAGTTACATATCGTGCCTTAGGGCTACGGGACTTGCCGAGAACAGATCAACTCGTCATATCTCTCTCTGACCGGTATGATAAGAACACTTACGATGATGCGGTTGATCTGTGTGAGTGTGACGGTGTGGTGAACATACTCTATTCTTTTTTTTTCTTTTCTTTTTTTTTTGTTCTCTTCTTTACATTCTTGGGCTGGGCTGCCTGCGGGGATGTCATGAGAGTTCAAGATATTATATGTAGCACTTCCTCGCGTGGTGGAAATGATGGCCTTGTCATGATTACGATAGGCCGGTTCCCGAAAACCACCCGCATATTGTAGGCTACATTATCACCGGTCGGCAATAAATATAGGCGCCTTTTTCCATGCTCGAGGAAATGTGGCCGTTCTGGAGCCACTGCCTGTCCCCGTCCCCGCGCTTTGTCGGTTATGATATGTGCGCGTTATTCGCGGGGTGGCTTAAGGACCGTTCCGTACCATCGGCCGTAAAGGAATAGACTACGGTTAGGAAATAGGGATCTACCGTATCCAGAGATCCTTTCCGGCAGCTTCCCGGTGCTCCGATCCGAGGCCCGAAGGTAAGCTGCTATCGGACCTGATTTAACTACAGTCGTCTATCGTCCTGGAACATGCGCGCATCTTCTGATAACATTGTGCTACATATTAACCCTATATCTTACCGTGGGTAGGTTGTTGTTTTTTTCTTTCGGTTTGTTTCGGTTTTTGGGACTGCTGGGTTTCTGGTAAGGTGGGATTGCTTATTTGCTTCATGTTTGTTTATTTTGTGCATGTAGAGGGGTGTCTTAGGGATTCCATGGGAATAACTAGTTATATGCGATAGTGGTGAAGGAAAGGCTTCGGTTTTGGGGTTCTAGTAGGATCTCGAGGGTCTGGTTGAGGTGCGCTCACTAACAATGATAGGGATTACGTGTTTTTGGACTCCTATCCTTGGTAAAATTCATGTGCCTGGGACGGACGCTCCAACAAGAATGTTAGGTTTCAAGCGAATGCCTATATAAGAAATATATTTGATCGGATAGTGACTCTATTTCGCCACTTACTGAACTTGGGGAATGTCCTACGGGTTGGTGTAGAGATCCAAGAGAGCCCAAGTGTTGCACTTGTGCAGTACTTTAGTTAAATTTAATTCCCTTCCAATCAACAACAATCCCAATAGAGCCTCCCGAAAGGAAGGAAATAAGGCACACTAACTGCGATACTGCCACCACTCTGTTTGGCAGCACACATCCCCTCCCGTATTGCCACCCTCTGGACAATCAACATCTTCTCAATAATCCCCATATCGCTACGAGTAACTCTAGCTCGCAACTCAAATCAAGGTCGATATAGAAAAGACAAAAGAAAAAAGGGCCCTGCGGAGACTGCTGAGAGCCGAAGGTTGTGAATCGGCCGCATGGCACGGGAAAAGCTACCCGTAGGTAATAGCGCTCTGTAACCTCAAAAAATCCAATGAAAAGTCAAACCCCACTGCAAACCCGCCTCTGTAGAGTAGCAGAGAACAAGAAGTAAACTCAATCGGTGAAAGGAAAAGCTTTTCTATTATACTTGCATGCAATCAGTGAGAAACAAACCCAGAGGGTTCGGCACCCCCACTCATGAACTCGCGGAAGAGCGATAGAACCTGGCATCAAATGATTTATAGCAGGGAACGTTCACGAACTTGATTAGAAATTCGGGGGTGGGTCTTAATTCCCTTCGGACATTCTATCAGGGGCTCTAGAAGGGTATTCGCCGATTCGGTGTCAAAGACGCTCTTGAGGATATACTAGCATAGCATGAATATCTGTCGGTAACTCTGTAGATGGTTCCTTTCGGTAGAAGGTCTAAATGCACCAATGAGCAACATCACCCAATGATCAGTCCTCTTGGGTCCGCTGTTGACCGAATAGCTAGTTTTTCAACTTGCACACCCCCCAGTCCTGGCAACCCGTCAGCGCAACCTCCGGTGGAAGTAGGGTTGCCCGCTCTGCCTGCTTGAGCTTAATAATTTGCCCGGCAATCAGGTCCTCGCTTGTAGGGTTTGGCTCAGGATCACTAGCATTCAAGTAAGGATCTTCGACATCTTCGTATCTAGCCTAGGCGAACTCGCCTGGCTAGTGTATGATATTGGAAACCCCCGCTGAGACGGGTCAAGGCTCACGCTGGTGGCGGCGTTGGGTGACTTAGAGCAGTAGCCCAAACGTCCATGAACAAAGTCTGCAACACGGCGACTAGTGTTTAACACAAACATTTCTATCCGCTGCCAGACAGTCCCCCATTGGCTGCCCGACCAAAGCACTCGCTCAAGAGATCCCCCATTTATTGTTGTTCGCCTCCCGTTATTTGCTACTACTCACGTGGTGGGGTTCGGTCGGCTGCGTCGCTTCTCAACCAAGAGCGGGCTGTACGAGTGCGGTACTCCCCGCACTACTCTGCCATTTATAAAGTATTCAGACGCTTAGCACCCAGACAAGTGCTAATAATGCCAATGTGTCCGAATACTTTATAAATGGCCTAGTAAGGAGATCCAAGGTCCTTCACCTGTGAGTGGATAATGCTCACCTCCTGGCAATGTGGAGATCTAGTAGCGGGCTTTTTTTTCCTTGAATTTTTTGCCAGGATAGGTGGATTCCTTTTTCTGATCCCATTTTTTCTTCCCCCCTCCCGTCCATTCTTCCCGGCTTGCTACGGATGCTTCATTGCCGGGCGATCGGAGTTAGGGCAACGGGGGAAGGGGGACTACTCGAGTAGTTGTAGCGGTGTCGGGTATTTGTGTTTTTCGCCCTTCAGAGGGCTGAGCGGCGCGCCTTTTGCTGTCTTTAGCCCTTTTTCTAGGGGGAGAAATCTTGGGTTTTCTGTCATAGCACACGGTCCAATTATTTGAGGTTCTGCTCGTGTGGTACTGTACCGGTATTCTCGTCTTTCCCCAGTTAGTCTATGGACTGTGCTCGGGTGCTGTGCGACTTGTCAGGAAGTGAGATTTGGTCATCTGGTGACTGGCATCTGTCTGCGCTTAAACTCGGCGATGGTACGCAGGTGAGTGCAATGTGACAACAAAAGTCCAAACAAGAATAGCACAACAAACATACTGTACTAAATCTCAATCCAAACCCTCCCTGTCTCGCGGAGCAAAAAATATATGCCGAATGGCGGGTAGGAGGAAGAAAGGGGAAGGTGGGGCAAGTCAATCTGAAGTTGGACAATGTTAACGGGGTGTATCATACCACCTTGGCTGGGGTTGTTGTGCCCGGCTCTGTCGTATGATAACCTTAGCATGCGCCTGCTCTACACCAAGACTTAATTTAAGCCCAAGTACTGTGCTCTATGCACAACCCCTCAATTGCCCCACCCGCAACCTCGCGATCGCCTTCAGGAGCATTTTCATTCATTGCCCCTTGAGGTCTATCGTGCCTCCATTTACCCCATTGCACAATCTACACTCGGCCCTGAACTTGAATACGTTGACTAAAGCCTTCAACAATATGGCTCCGATTCCCAGGACTGTTCTCGTCGTCGGTTCGTTGAACACTGATATGACCACCAGAACTCGTCGCCTTCCCAACCCCGGGGAAACTATAGTTGCTCAGGCTTTCTCAACTGCGCCAGGTGGAAAAGGGGCAAACCAAGCTGTCGCCTGTTGTCGCCTGACTAGGGCATCCTCTGGTGCACCACCGGACGGTATTTCCGTCAAGATGGTCGGTGCTGTCGGAGATGACGAATTCGGAGGCCGTCTCAAAGACAGCTTAGGGCAGAATGGAATCGACGTTGAAGGAGTAATTGTCAAGGAAGGGTTTTCCAGCGGTGTCGCCGTGATCATAGTACCCCCCCTTGCCGTATCATAGCTGGTTTGTCGCTGGAAGATCCGGGCTAACAGAACTAGGTCGATGAGGACACTGCCGAGAACCGCATCCTTTACACTGCAGGCGCAAACGAGGCTCTCACTGCCCAAGATTTCCCGGAAAACTTCTTCTCGAGCTTTAATCCCCTCCCCTCTGTTCTTGTCCTGCAGCTCGAGACCCCACTCCAAACGGTCCTCCACCTCCTAACCCTCGCCTCCAACGCTGGCATCGAAACTGTTTTAAACCCTGCCCCCGCCAGGCACATTCCCCTCCAGTTCTACTCAAAAATCGATCATCTAATCCTCAATGAATCCGAGGCCACCTACCTCACTGGGGAGGATGTTACCTACCTGGACGACGATGCCGGGATCCAATCAACGATCAACCGCCTACTTGAGCGCGGCGTTAAGCGGAGCGTGATTATCACCATGGGTGCCCGCGGGTGCTACTTCAAGAGCTCGGATGGCCAGGAAAGTTGGATTAGGCCCGAGGTTCGGCCGCAGGACGTGGTGGACACTACTGGTGCTGGCGATACGTTTGTTGGGGCCTTTGCGGTTGCCTGCGCTGAAGGAAATGGCATTGGCTATTCTCTGAATTTTGCGACAAAGGCGGCGTCGATTAGTATTCGGAAGACGGGGGCCCAGGCAGGGATCCCGTGGAGGGGTGAAGTGCAGTAGAGGCGTAAATGGGGATGGGAGGCAATGCACTGTGGGGACAATGATACAGTGGGTTCTAAATAAAAGTGGTTCTGCAATTAGATACTGCGCTATGGAGAGCGGGAGCTAGGGGGAGGGAAGAAATGGCGATGGTCAAGCCCTCGAATTTCTCAACTTGGGGCAATAATACACCCCCGGGACCAGCATTACCGAATAGTGCGGGAAAGGCATACAGTGCTTAAAAATGTCCATTGCTATTAGTAGGAAAAATTGTTCTGGAGATGTTGGAATTGTTTATCCTGTTTTCCCTTGCTCCGACATTACCTTTTGAGCCGTTAGTATAGGTTCGAGGCAAAGGGCGTGCGTCTTCTATAATACATGATACCGTATGATACTACTTATCATATCCAAAAGTGCGATCTGATCGTCTAATAACCCGTCCAACCAGATCTCTTCTTTCTTCCCTAACCTCGACTACTCAGTAACCACGAGGCACGCTTGGTAAGCCGGGACGAATGGAAAGAAAAAAGAAAGAAACCAAGGAAAGGGATAAAAGTGGAATCAACAGTTCTCTCTGACTTGGTCCGAAATATAAAATAAATCTTTCCGCTGGATCACCGTATTGCCAGGAGCTAGATGTCATTGGGCCAAAGACCCCTGACCAGCCACAAAAGGAGCAAATCATTTCCAATTTCCCCAAGGTCATACTGTGCCCTACCATAGTGGAGGGTAGTGGAGAGGAAAAGACAATAACAGCACCGTCACATGACTAGTTGATCTGCGTTGTCTAGTGGACAAGGAAATCCTGACAGGGCACTTTACTAAGCTCAACTTGGGCCTGAGGTATGGTGGAAGAGAAACCGTACGAGCGCTGTACTGTACCAGCATTTCTACTGGAGCTCCTCCGTTATCGGTAAAGTCTTGATCAATAAGATCCTGGCTATCCCCGGGACAGGTATCCCACCCGCTCGCGTTTTCGCAGGATACAAGAGACGGCTGTACGATACTACACCCACGGCGCGCGGAATGTGGGTGGGGCCTTCTGGTTAGAGTGATGTAAACTTTTCCCTGAATATATACTAATACATGGAGCACTGTGCGAAGCCTTCTCAGAAAACTATAATTCCCTTGATAATTATTCTCCCATTTCCTCCCACCCCCTCAGAATAGCTGTTGATAATATCACGCAATTACCTTTACCTTCAGCCCAAAATGGAGGAAGAGCTGAGGAGAATCCGCCCCCAAGTAGGATGAGTACCCTTACCTCCCAGTTATATCCAAATGGGATGAATGAATCCCCACAGAAATATCGATGGCAATATATTTGCGAGTGAGTTCCCCCTCACCATGCATCACCCTTAGTCCAGGTTTGGGATTAGAAAACCCTCAGGCTGAACTGCCATATTTGGGCTGTGGGATCAAAGCTCGAGACTTCCTTACGAGTATGATATGACAATTGAGATGACCCTATAAGGGAATGGCCCTTCCACCTCAGCGATACGAGATACGAGGCTGTGGAATCCTACTCCACATCATACTTACCATACCCGTACGCCCGGCACGAAGCTGTGATTATGGGGCGGCGGAGTCAGCCAGCCAGGAAAAAGCTTGGTAGAAGGGAGAGAAGGCATTGAGAAATCAACCTAAGATAATAATCAAGATGCTTTTTTCTCACCCCCCTGTATTGGCGAGGGTGGCAAGTGGAGTTTCTTCTAGTTTAGTATTTTGTGTTCGAGAGAGGGAGCAAATTCCGAAAGATATATGATATAGACGTTCTAGCGGGGAATAATCGGGCTCGTTTATCTTGAGGAGGGATTGGGGGAAATTATGTAGAGTATGATATATGTTAGACAAGAACAACTAGTCAGGAGGATAGTGGGAGTCGGGGAGGGAGGGCAGTGCACCAGCGCATCTGTCCCTCTACAAGCCAACCACTTGCACTGTACTATACTCGTACATACAATACCGACCGTGCGGATATCCTGTATGGACTTTGCGGACCTTTCCAGCATGGGAGTCGCGCGGTGGACCTGCTATCGTACAAAGGAGAACTTTAGCCTACTTCATCACCCAGCGAGTGAGAAGGCGTGTCTAAAAATATCTGGAAAACCCGAACGCGCTCCGCTCTGATTGCCTAGCCACAGTAAACGTGAGTGAGGAGTTTTTTTTTCGGAATTTCTCCATAGGTAACTTGTTCGGTGTGGAGCTTCCTGGAAGGTGTTGGGTTGTCTATCAGGAGCGCGGTTATGAGGTATGTGCTGTTTTGAATCGATATTCCTAGGTCCGATCCTGTTTGACATGGGGTGTTGGTTAGTTGGTTTTTATTTTGTGCTGGCAGGTGTCGGGCATCGGATATTGGGTATTCGGTCCAGTCCGCCGGGGGTTTCATTATTATGTTGTTCGGGGTAGATGAACGACAAGGTTTTGTACCGGTTGCGGAAGCAATTGTCCGTAGTATGAGCTCTGGGAAACACGAAACCCCGGGCAGAGCACTTCAGGGCCAAATTTGGAATGATGGCCGATGGCTCATTTTTCTCCCCTTGCGTTTCTTTCCATTCAGTTATATATGGTTTGTGAAGTTCGGTTTGGCTTTTGGAACTGTTTTTTTGGGGTAGGTCTCTTGGTCTGCCCCTATCCAGCGCCCCTATCGCCAGCCTGGTTCGCTATTTCTCAGTGTTCAGTTATCCTAGTGCTTGGCCCATCTTCACCGCTCTGTCCTTTAGACTCTTCCCCCAGAGGGGCTATTGGGAAAAGAGTCCTTCTATCGGTGCCGAAGGATGTCCGGGTGTCGATTGTGTCCCATAAAGGACTTTTTGTTGAGTTCTTCGGGGCGTAATCCCTAACTCTATACGTTCCGTTAACGTTGGGGCTCATTCTTTTCAGGTCCTCAGGCCAAGGGGGATGGAGCATAGGATAACTCCACAATGGTGTGGGGTTCCGGTTGGGTTGTCATAAGATCTAGCACCGGTGTTTATTCTCCTTTTTCCTCTTTTCACTAACTTACTACTTTCTAGGTGTCGGCCGGTGGGTGGGGGCTTACTCATCTATCCATTCATCTACCAGGACGGACTGGCTAGAGGCTGATACGCGTGTGAACTATAAGACACAACTAGATCGTGTAATCATATGGGGACGTTACTAGAGCTATTGCCGGTGTTAATAGCTGCCATAAGTAATTGCCTGCATGGCCGTTTTCCTATTCTAGATTCGGTTGGCCGGGGCGGGGGCTAAGGAGAGGATTGACCCCTCCCCCACCGCTATGTGAAATTCCTCAGGAGAGACTTCCCCCCATTCACTCACTCACTTCCTCACATGACAAGGCCCCATACCTCACCTCTCATGTCAAAAGCTAGTCAGCCAGTCCCGCCATCCTCGGATTAATGAGATGAGATCCGGATTCCTTGGCGGATGTTGCCTCCCCCATTTATGTAGTGCGTTGTGCCGCAAGGAGGTTGGTGAGTTCATGCATCAGGGTTCCCTGTTATTGGTGTGATATTGGGAAGTGCACGGAGGGTGAACTAGAAAATGGAGGGAAGGAGCAATGCTTGTGTGTACTACACTTGCACGGGTACGGTACTGGAGTGCTCGACTCGAAACATGGATTAAAGTATATGGCGAAAAGATTCTCACGTATCCTACAAGTATGATAGCACCAATACAAAATATGCCCCCCTCCTTTCGAGCACTTCTCGCCTGGCCAAATTTCTATAGTACGGGTGTCTCAAGCTGCGCTGGGTATTAGAGAACTTTTGGTGGAGCGCCGCCAGTACCCATGTTTGCCGGGCCAAAGTCGTATTTCCGTTTAGTGCGTTACCGCCAAAATTGGAGCGACTTCGACCCGGCAAGATGAGCAGTGGTATGATACCGTATTCACTTGGATAAGAGAGAATTGTCTCAGGACGTCTGAGTTTCCTCTTTTGAGGGGGACGGGAGAAAATGCCAGGAAAAAAAACGGCGCTTTAATTAGGCGGGAAATCTAGACGTCCTGGGACAACTCTCTTATTCAAGTTTATACGGTACGTTATCCAGAGCGCAGCTGTGCAGTTCTGGACAGCGGACGCAGCAGGGCATTGTAAATTAGTTGAAGTAAGGGGGCCCGGACCAGAGTTTGATAGTAATCTTGATAAGAATTGCCTACTAATTAATCGCTCCTATCTAGTATGCTACACCCAATTTCACTCAACCCACTCCTACGATGCCCTGCCGTCGAGTTACGTCGCTAATGGTTTGCGCGCTTCCAATTCCGGGTGCTACCACAAGCGCACGCATTCATTTAACTCGATCATTATCGGGTGAAAACGATGTCAACAATATGTTTAAACGACAGTCGTGAAGTATCGGTCGATTTTGAGCTCTAGAATCTTAGCTCCAAAGAGGGTACACTAGATACGAATTTGATTATCAGTGGGGTGCAGTATAGCATGGTAAAAGTCAATATCTCCACACTTTTCACCGGGGAGAGTTAGGATAATGCCCGCATACAGGAAGGCTTGGCTCGATCGCTGCGGGGAGTTTTTGGGAGCCTTACCCGCGCTAAGGTAAATTTAGGTCTCCAGCCGCACTGCAGGTACTTTCGAGTAGTGTAGTAGAACAGGGAATGCGTTCCCCTGTGGCAATTGATTGGATAGCTCAAATGCCCACTTTCTCCCACTTCCCCTTGTTCTGGATCTGACAAAACAGCTCCCTGAACAAGGTGATTAATCCCCAGCAAGCTCACCCACACGAGCAGGCACCACACAGTACTTGTACAGCCATCGCTTGTGTGATAGCCCCCGTCTATCCGTCCTACCCTATCTACCCTATCCCCCAGACGCTAAGGCCCCGCTAGTGTTTCCGTGCTTTCCTCACTTTCTTCAATACAAGCACCCTCGTACTGCGCCGCACGATACGTACCCGAGAATAGCCCTCAAATTGGGTTTCTTTCCTCACAATGACAGAATACTTTGTGGCCCGCCCTCCTGCCCCTCTCCCGTCCATCCCGCCTACTGTACTTACTAACCAGCCATAGATTAACGACCAAGAAATCACGCGAGCCCGGGTTTCGCATCCCAGCAGGAAACTCTATCTGGAAGTACGATAAGAACGATACGATATCATATTATCAAACCCTACCTGTCCAAACAACGCGGCGGTCGTGGTGGATAACTCGCTTCTCGACATCCCTCTACATTTCATCTTTCTATGCCACAGGTACTCGAGTATGCGAGCGAGTTCGGATCCTTAACCCCGGTCACTCACTTGGGGCAGGGAAGAGTGGGTCTTTTGTAGAACGCACATCTCATCCTCACTCCACTCCACCTGGCCCCACCCCACTCTACTTCACACTACGGTTAAGGTGCCTGGGAGGATATAAAAAAAGGTAGGAAAGAGATCAATCCTGTGCACGGTACCGGGGATGGATAAAAAAATCGTAAGGTAGGGTAGGGAAGGTCAATTTGAAGAGGGACCAAAAGAACGGAAAGAGGACACCTGATGGATGGAACTTATTCTAGTCCGCTCACTCGGGGCTTCTCGCGTGCTTGGTGCCGTACGGTAAATCCTGCTCTTTGGGTTGTCGCAGCACTCCTTATGATTGTTAGCCACCGTGCTCTGCTGTACTCGTACAGTACTCCACACAACCACCTCCTCCGGGGTTGCCACATAACCCTTCCCTGTAAGGATATAAATTTAGGTACAGTAGCAGCCTTCTCCATACCTACCACCAATTTTTCTCCGCTTTGTTATTGCCGGGTGATCCGATTGGAGGATAACGACTTCTCAGCATTGGGTTCTTTAACTGTAGTGGGTTGATACGGTGTGCACTATTCCCCACCGCGACAGCTGCGGTTTCCGAGTGCGACAGAAAGGCTGATTCCTAGTCTTTTGTCTGGTGCTAAAGTGAATAAGTTGTGGTAGGAGGGGGGCAGTTCCGGGGTTGTTAGTTCCAGATATTGTATTTTCCGGCGAGGTATGTAGCTCTATAGTTCTCTATAAGACATCGGCAACGGCAGTGACGATATGTGGGTGGATGCAATCCGTTCCATACTGGGATGGACGGGATATGCAGGGACATGGGACACTACGTCTTTGCCCGGGAGGGTTGGAGGGGGCCAACAGGGAATCAATGGTGATGTGTTTGTTGTATGGCAAGAGACTTGGTTTATAACCGGCTTGCGGGAATAGGGATTGTATATTCCTGAAGGGTAGAGCTGGAAGCGTTGGTTGATCGTCATGGAAGACGAGATCCATTGCTCCAGAACGTCTCCAGTGATGTGACTTGGAAGATTTATGGTAATGCAGAAACGGGCTCCGCAGAGCTTGAGGAAATTATTACAGCATCTCTTCCTTTCTTCGGCCCTTCGTTACCTCATTGCCACTGCCCTTAATTCGAAGGACCGGGTGGTAAAGGTTATGGTGCCGCTTTGTCGTTATACACAGTTGTGCTCCTATTAATTCTGCAGACATACCATACAAAAGTGGCGACTTGGGCAAGTCAAGGCTCCTGCTCAATTCAAGCAACCTCCAAGCAACAATCCTTCCCTCCCCCCTTCCCCAGGGCTTTGTAGTGGGACGTAAGAAGGGTCCTGGCTGTGGCAAATAAAGCGGTCAATTTCACGCAATCCGTATAACCCAATCATCATCGCCGATAGGACAGGAAGGGTGGACCGAGAATGAACGAAGATCGACGCTCCCTGTTGAACAAAGCCCTAGATGTTGGAGGCAAAGAACCGGAAGAGCTGGGGGCGCGCGAGGGGGCTTGCATCCTTGTAGAAATCACAAAACATTCCCGTTTACTGGAGAAAATAACCATAACACTAGACCTCCGGAATCACTCTCATGTCAGGCCTCTCGCAAAAGCTACGGTAAAATACTCCGCATGCCCGCCTCGGCCTGGGGAAGCAACCATCTGTGGGGTGTCATACAGTACAGCACTACACATCATTTCACTTGTGCGGTGTCATCGGATTCCGGCTACTCATACTCGCCTTCCCTCACAAACCAGGGGATCAGTTGCCAGCAGTTTCCACCTTCAAACTTAGAGCAGCAAGGACATATGGGCGAGTAAGGTGGTCATATGCACGAGAAAGGGCCCTTTTTGCCTCTCAAACGCACCATTAGGTATGGTGGGAGTATGCGGTACAGCAGGGAGCGTTACGGCATGGTACGGTATTACAAGGGGTACTGCACGACTGCCTTCTCTGTTTCTCCCTTCCATTTTCTTTCACTCCCCCCTGCCACCAGAATAGGGCAGCTCAATTAGGAAGATACTGTAGGTAAGAGTTTAGTCGAGTATGCGTATGTTGATGTGTGTGCGTTTTAGAAGGTAATCCGGAGTCAATCCACAGTATAAAGTCACCCATCTGCTCCTGTATTTATTCCCCTCTTCCTCCCAACCGTCTCACAGGATCGTAAAACATCTTTGTATCAACATCTTTGATCTACTTTGTTCATCTTTTGTGGCTCCCAATACATTCGTTACCACCGGTCTTTAATCTTTCCGGGAGTTTTCGAAGGTTAAATAGCCAAAGTTATCTCACCCACTAATCAATCATAATGAAGTTCTCATTCGTTGCCGTCGCTGTCAGCATCGCCGCTGCTGTCTCCGCTCAGACTTGGGTTGATATTCCCGGATGTGCTGTACGTATTTTGATAGATATATCTGCTGGTTTCCTGACTGGAACAACGAACTGATACGGCATGAATAGTTGAACTGCATTCCCAACAATCCCCCAAGTGGTTGCTCTCCCGGCGATGTTGCTTGCGCTTGCCGCGCCGCCGGGTTCGTCTCTGGTTCTGTTTCTTGCATTCGGCAGAACTGCCCGATCCCCGACCAGCTGGGTAGGTTTTAATATCACGATGATTCTTTATGAAATAGTTTACCAACAATAACCCCGTAACAGTTGCCATCAACGCCATTATCGCTGCCTGCACTGCCAATGGTGTTAATATTTCCACGACCTTTGCTGTCCCGGAGCCCACCGCCACCCGGACCGCTACCACCGGAGCTATAATAACTGCCACTCCAAGCAGGTACGATGCTTCCGGTACCGTTACCAGGCCCTTCACCACCGGTCGTCCCACCGCCATCCCAACTCCTGGTGTCGCTGGTAACCGCACCGCCAACATTACAGGACCTATTACTGTTCCCACCAGCATTGGCAGCGCAGCTGAGCGTCTTACCACAGCTCTCAGCCTCATCGGACTGAGCATTGCTGCCGTCTACCTCTCGCTATAAAATCGCTCTTCAAGCAACCTCACCCCGCCTTCCACAAAGCGGAGGGATGTTGATGAATAACGGTTTGGTTAATCATGGTATTATGCGCCCTCGGTTCCTGGGAGGTTTCTGGCGTTTTATTTATATGGAGAAATGGTCCAACGAATAATGTGGGATTGTCACTTTAGGGGAAAGGTTAATATATGGGTTACTGAGAAATATTCTTGATTTTTTCTCTTGGTTTTTTTTAATGGCATGTGGATGGAGGTTTCTCGGTATTTATTACTTTGCCGAATACTTAACAAGCGGCTGTCATGGGGGGACCTTTGGCCCCCAATAATGTGTATACTCGGATTTTTCGTCCTGCAGAATCTTACTTTTTATACTTAAACTGTGGATTCTCTGTGATGTGTGGTTTCCACGATGAGGGTGGTGATATTTGATCCGGTACTATACTGAAAGCTTGTCTTGTCGGGCTACGGTATTCAACACTTCAAAGACCCAATAGATAGCACCAATTCAGCCACCCCACTAACATGCGCTACAAACGATACTTGGGATGAGATTAAATTTGGATATTCTACATCTCTACTGCAAACAAGTATTGCGCAGTAACCCTAACGCTACAGCCTACGCCTTTAGCTCTAAAAATAAGAAAAGTGTCTCTGGGGTCTTAGGCACCGGAAAAAAAAGAAAAAAAGGCCGGCCCTTGTGGTTTTGCCGTCACCGCCGTGCTCGTTTTTCTAGTTATCATATCATACGTGTTTGGTTGAGATGTATCAACATTCGTTGAAATCCCATCCTAAATATGATACTGCCCCCGAACGGCCTTACAATAATCCAAGACCCCGGCCATCCCTCCATTGCCCAGTCAACGTTTTCCAACTCCAATCCCAACCACAGCTCACTTAGGTATAGCATTCGCAAGTTCACATCACCCCACGCTCGCCCCCCGAATAATCTTACCTCGCCTCCATACCATCCCATCACCACCCCATCACCACAAATCCCATCTGTGTCCGACTGCACGAGTAGAGTGCCGTACCATCCGCCCAAAAGGGGCCCCCAAAAAAAGCTCCAACCGTAATAGTAGGCCCTCCCACCCACTTGAAATTGAACCGGCACCAGAGTATCATTCCGGTATGGTTAGGGACCCCCGTATCGGGGGCGGGTGCTCCAACGATAGTTAGCCCGCTCTCAACCCGCATATCTCACCGAAACCTAGAAACCATTTTTACCTTACCCCATTGATGCATTGAGGATCACCTATCCTATCACCCAACGGAGATGTAATTCCCATGGGAGTGGTTGTTGAAACCCCCCCCCCCCCCCCGGGGATTAAAGGTGGGCAATATTCTGTTGCTAGAGTACTAGTACTCTTGCCACACGCGTCCCTGGCCAGATTGCGCATTAAGAGGACGTGAGAATGGAATACTATAACTGGCATTTCTGGGGACTGGTGTCTTTATTTCTGTCTTACCTCCCCTCCTACCTTAGAAAAATGATAGCAGGAGGATCACCGGATCGGGGCGGTGTTGGACCCGGTTGGTCGATTGAACGAATATACCTAGCGGAGGTTAATGGGATGTCGCTGCTGGGTGCGGTGCGAACTATCATGGCTTCGGCTCGGAGCTGAGGCGAATACAATACTCCTGTCCTAGAGCTTGGAAGCCCGATCTTGATAGTTGCCTTTTTTGGTATTTGACCGAGGCGACAGTACTGCGCTCACAACGCTCAGTGGATTCGGACTGTTCATCTCTTGTGGTATTCCCCCTCGAAATTACTTGAATTATAGGGTCCGCACACAAAGCGTGAAATTGAGCGGTGGTTGGAACATCACCTTATGTGTCGAGAGTCAACAAGGCGCTTTACGAAATATCTTAACTCCAATGCACTCGCACCTCTACCGCACCCGGGAAATGGCCCGACGTGTGCCACCCACCCTGATACCACCTCACAACCCCCACAAGGACGCAGGTTTTAAAAAAATTAAAAAAAAACCATGCCTCCTATCCCGAGTCCCTGTATACAAAGGAATTAGTCTACTTTTACCGACACTACTTTTGTTGTAGGCGGCCGAATAATGACGAGTTTATGGGAGGTCGGTTTCGGTGTGCTTTGCACATTTTGAAGGGCCTTTCCCCTCAAGACTACAGGTACTGAAGCACGAGCCACTATGTAGGGTTCAAATAATATGGTACGTTACAATGTCGTACAATATACCAGTAATACTGTGACGTAAATTACTCGCGCAAGGTATGATATAATATCGGAAGACGGCACTCGCTATTATACCTTAAATTTTCATGCCGGGTAATGAGATTTTGCAAAAGAAGTCCATGTTGCATAATCTTTCAATAATTGGTCCCCACTATAATGGGTGTACTTTAGGTAGCCAACCTACAGAGATTTGAGAACGGCTAGGCGAATGACATGAAGATGGTGGTTTAGTAGCCTATGAGGAGGATTGTGCAGGGGGGGGTGGAGGGTAGGGTGCTACTAGGCAGAGTCTGTTGGACCTGGTATTCTTGTCCACAGTTCCCAGAGTTAAACGTTTACTTTCTAGTCCGCTCCCAATTTAAAGACTTGAATCAGGTTCCCCCCCCCCTCCCCCCTTCTGTATGCCATGTGTAAACCCGCCCCCTTCCTACATTTCCATTGAGTCTAAAAGTGCTTTCTCCCCTGCACCTGCACCGCTAATTCAGTACAAGGGATCACCAGACTATAACATACTGCGTCGTGCCCCGCCATGTAAACTTACTGTTAATGTTGGAAAAGGTGACTTCACAAGATCATGCTCGTCGGCTTTGTGGTATGGATTCAGGGGATGATGGAATAATGTGTTCACCGGCATACTTGGCCTGAACTCCAGTCCACCTAATCTTTTAGTGGACTGTGCCGAGTGACTGCTATATCTATGTAGTATATAAGCCACCAGCTCTGACTGAAATAAACTATGGTGTGCAATCTCTTTTTGACAAAATCTGCTCTTTTAAAATCCCTACTTTCACAACAGTTAAATCGGCTTAGAGGCCGAGTGATGAGCTGTGATGAGGTTTAAACGTCAAGTTGTATGGGAAAGGAGAATTTTGGTTATGTATATAACTCTCGGGTGTGTGAAAATGGGTCCACACCAGGGAGCCGATTTTCTTTGGCATATGCGATATTTCGTTTCGGAGTAAAGTAGTGCATTTCACATTTCAGTTGAGATTAGAATATTTTGCACTATATGCCAAAGGAGATTTCCTATGGTTTGAGTTCTTAAGTTGAAGCCCAAAATACAAACTTTGCGTTGCTGGTATCATAATACTTTATTGTGTTGAAAATGCATCTTATAAGTTTTGTAAACCATACTTTAGACCCTCAAACTGTATTCTGACAAATACCATATACTTTACTAAACACAGTATCATAGGTATTTAAATATTATAGTATGGCATAGTCTTAATAATTCTATACAAAAATATGGTACAATATGAAGTGTATATACTAATAGACATGATAAGTGAGAAGGAGGTAGTATGAAGGCAGATTTGCAGGAATTCTTTTCCTTAATGCTACTAAATAAGATAGATAGTGGTCCCTAGATCTACAAGTATGCATACTTCATGTAACCAAGAGTGGGTGGGGGGAAAAATATAAGTGTAAACATGTTTGGCCTTGAAAGCCTGCCAAAAGAAATTCCAATAAATGTGTAAATCTAAGATAGTATGATATAAGAAGACAATTAACTTAGGGGATGGTTACGAATCAAATGACCAATAACAGTGCGGAAGAGATGCATAAAAATAATGAAATATATATAATACATACTCTAGCTGTAGTAATGTTTGCGGTCTATGGGTGATTCAGAAACAAAATCAAGTAGAGAGAGGTACAATATTATCAGAAAAAACTGAAGATTTTGTTGCAGGGATACTAGGTGGAGGACGAAAGAATGCAGTACTGCTATGAGGCAACTAAAGAACTATAGAAAGGTGGGAAAAAAATATTGTTGTCTCGCATCTCTCCAACTACCGGTAAAGACAGGTGTATATATCGACCATCATCCAATCATCTCTATCCTTCCACCGATCACCACACATCTCTCATGTCCCCCCCCATGCATATCTCCCATGACAACAAAAGAAAGACATGAATGAAGAACCTTCTCTGAATCTCTTTGTATCTCTGAAATGAAAGAAACCATCAATAACCTTCTTGCATCTCCCGCAAACACCCACAACACCTGAGCCTTCCTTTCCTTCTTCAACAGACTCGAGGTGTTATCCTAAGAGTTATGGTAAGTTATGTCAAACAGGGCCTTAGCCAATATATCCAAGTCCACCTAACTTGTTCTAGTACTGTACCGAGTTTCCATAACTCCTCTCTAGGTCTAGGGCCCGGCTCGGAACGCCGAGGAGGCTTCCGGCGTACCGTAATACCATTAGAAGTGATCCCGTACGATAAAATATATCTTGTAGTGTAGTTTACAACAGCGATACCCCTTTACTCTATCGAGATACTTAGAGGTAAATACTGGTGCAGCTTTTGAGGGAGAAGAAAAGGCAATAAGAGAGCGAAAAAGTATGGAGATACCCCTTTTCCGGTTTCCCCTGCAGGCACCCGCAACTTTCCAAGCATTTTTCGGGCCCCCCGTCGGACCAATGATTGATTTGAATTGATGGGGTGACAAAAGAATCTCTGCTTTCGAACAGTGATCTACTACAATCCAAATTGTGCGAGCTTAAGCTGAGTACGATATACTTTAGAACGGCAAAGGCAGGACGCCAAACCTTGCTGAACTTCCTGGCACCCACAGATACGATCGAACAACACAACAGACACGCTACCGCACAGGCACCGATCTCGTAAAAAATAGATACTGTGCTCCATAGTCCTGTAGATCACGGGTTCTGGGTACACTAAAGCTAAATAGCATTTCTCCCTCAAACTATGGTGCCAGTCAACCCCTTTTTGCTTTGAGATCTAGTTTTGATCTGCAAGAAAAATATGCTTGATGGGTGTAATTTAGGTATGATATAGTATCGCCATATACTCGAGCAGCGAATGCTCTATAGGCGACATTCTAGGGCTTACACGTCTGCGGGGTTGCTGTAATTCAGGGGAAAGAGTCTGCTTATTAACCGCCATCTCAGACGCTGACAGAAGCAGGATAGAATTTCCCGTCTCAACAGTTCGGGTGATAATGATTGGACCAGAACATGCTTGTGCAACACGACCCCGGCATGTCACGGAGCCGGGCGCCCCCTCTCTTGGCCCCCGACATGCCCCCAAATTTTGAGAGAAATCGATCTCTTATTGCACACCATCCCTCTGTTTCTCGGGGAAAAAAAGGAAGCCAGATAATATACTATAGGGCAGATGTCGCCGGGATACCCGCACCAC